ATATATATATATATATAAAGGATGGGTAAAGGTCACTGGCCATATGGAACTTAGAATCTATTTGTGTAAGAAGATATGTATATAATGAAATAGTTAGGAAGCAGAATGGCATGCTAGTAAAAGCATGGTAAAAGCAATGCAGAAAATAAGTAATATTAACATGTAAGCACTGAAAGAATATAATCCAAGAACTGCTATATTACTATCAAAATTCAGATACCTGTGCCTTAGTTTTCCATTACACTTTATCATGAAGAAGAGCATTATTGGTAGTTAAAATAATTGAATCTCTAAACTAAGATAATTCTTTTCAGTTATATACATAAAAGTTTAAGATAATAGAGCAATTTGTCACTATCTTTAGACAATATTAAAAGGAAATAGTATGTCCTAGAGAGGAAAAAGACAGTTTCAAATAATTGAAATTAAAAACTATTTGTGGTTTGTTCAAAATAGTGTTTTGCATTGTTGTTTCTTACAAAATTGAGGTCTGTTTTTTCCTCTATTTACCAGTTATAAACATTTTTCTGTATACGTCCAATTAGGTACACTCAGACATATCTACACTCGAACTGACAATGTTCCCAATAGGAGTGGTCATATACAAAGCTGTCTGCAAAGTGAATATATTGGCGTAGGGCTCCCGAAGCATCATATCAAGGCAGCCCTTGACATTTTTCCAAGTGGAGAGGGCATGTCACAATTAATTAGACAGGATGGCATTCTATTTTAGCAAAGTTTTTGTGCACTTCCCTACACAAAGAGCTAACCAGCTGATAATAAAAATGTCCTTCAAAGAAGGGCTTAAGATTGGAGACTAAGCTACACAAGAAGAGAAAGTTTCTTATACCTTTTTTTAACAGCTGAAAGTGATTAATGACAACATTTTTAGACGAAAAGACAATGAACAATTTGCAGGTACATAGGCCAGAAGGCAGACAATAAAGGTAGTCTAATCATATGTACAAGAAACTTATTGAAAACAAACTATAAATATTTTCCCCTTGAGTATCATCAAAAGTCAAACTTACCTGATCGACTATCCAGAGGTCCAAAATCCAAAGAGTATTTCACGACGTGATAGTTGTTCCAAACATAAAGAAGGTTGTCCCTGGGATTGTAATCCACAGCCGCTATGTACTGGTATGAATTGGGAAATGGTACATCCACCAAACTATCCTTACTTTGGTCAGTGTTATAAATGTAGTCAATCTTATTCCCTGTGGCCTCATTGTCATCATCCTCATATACAGATTTGACCACATACAGAATCCCGCAAATCATAAATGCGTTGGAAGCTGATCTTTTATCATATGCAGTATCCCATGTCCCTTCAATCCGTAGAGTATAAGGGTTCAATTGACTAATGACAATTTTACCATTGTTTTGTTCTGTTGCATAGATCACCCAGAGCCCATTTTCATCCACTGCCAGGTCTATGTCAGATTTGCCTCCCCATCGGTAAGGAGAGGTATCATGGTAATTGGCATTTGCTATGATAGCCTCTCCACTCTTTATCCTAGTCCGCAAATCAAACTTTACTATGTTCCTGGTGCGTTCTTTGTTGAAAAACAAAGCTCCATCATACACTACAAATCCTGTGCCATCCACCCTGTGAGGGAGCTTGTAGGTTGTAGTTGGCCTTCCAGCAATGAAGTCATCCTTGGATGAGTACTCAGTCAGGGTATCAGTTCTGTAGGGAGTCCAGGGCATATAATAAATCTTGTCAGAAGCCTGCAGAGGGTCTTTGCACCATGCCCCAGACTGGTGGTCAGATTCAAACAAATGTTCACTCTGGTATACTCCTTTTAGTAGTCCAGGGCAAAGAAAAACTGTTGGAAGGGAAAGAATTAAAATAATAAATATATTAATTTTAATATTGTCACATATTCTTAGTTTTTACCAAATGGACTGTACTTCTAACAAGAGATACCCACCACCACTTAATTATTTTGCTGCATTCTTCTGAGTATGCAAACCGTCTTACATATTGATTTTGACTTTTGTTCAAAATCATTTTGATTTCATCTGCAGAAAAATGTGGCCTCTTCATGAGTAGTTGTGTTTTCCTTTGATTTTTACCTTTGTAAACATGTTATACAATATTTTTGGATAGACATATATAGATGTGATGTACGTCTATGTATTTTACAAATACAAAGGTGTATATAGAATATTTTTACTTATCTTATTTGGAAATTAAATATATGTATATTGATTTCACTCTGATATTAGCCATTCAATAATTTATCATTAAGAAATAAATATAAATCCAATAGTAAATAAGTATAAAATAAAGGAAAAGCAAAGCCCTGTAGTACAGGCCACTGAATCTTCTAGCAAAAAAAACTCTTAAAGCTTCTATAGCACACACAGAGCATGCAACCCATACAATTAAAAATGAGTGATGGATGGATACTGGGAGGAAAAAGAGAAAGGAAGAAAAAGAAAGGAAAGAAGGAATAAGAAGAAAAGATGAAAGGTTACAGAGAAGAACCCAAGATCTAGATTTTAATCAGTTAAAAATGTCCTGTTAAATACAGTAGTATTGGAACTTAAAAACATGTACCTTTTACTGTTACATGAGAAGAACATTAAAAAACAAGATTACTTGCTACAATATTTTGCTGCTCATACTTCAGATCGAAAATGGGCAGGAATTATCTGATTCATTTGATTTTTAGTATGATTCAGTAGCGCATTCTGTGAATAGTGGTAAGAAGTTTTGGCTGGCTTGTGATGAAGGGACCATAAAGCAATGTTTCCCAGAGAGTGGTCCTTGAAGCACCTGTTTCAAGTGGATATTACACAGAAAGAAAACAGGGATCTTTGGCCATATGTTTAAGAAATATCATATTAAATAGAATTGTGGCAGAGACTTGAATAACTTTAGTGCATTAGCGAATCTCCAAGGCAGAAGTGAGGGGGGGTGAGCAAATTTCACAAACTAATTTGATCGTGGAGCTCCCTTCCACAGAACCTGTTTAAAGTGTAGTGTTCTGTTGAACCTGCTATGGGAAACACTGCTCTAGTATTTTTTGCAAAGAAAACACACTGAAAAATAATCATGCAGTCCACTGTTATGTTTGAAGTGATTAGAACTGTATTGGATAGAGCAATTAAGAAAGCATAAGGAATTTGGATGTTGACCCATATTTTAATGATTAAAGTATTATTCTCGTTATTAGTGATTAGGTGTTCAACAGCAACTATAAGCCTGGATCCAATGGAAAACAATCTAAGATAAAACTCAGCTAGGATGTGCAGGTTATTAAAAAGGAAAGTATATTATTAAAGTGCCCAAGGTTTTACTTTTGTAGAAATGAAAAGTTTCAGGGCAAAGTTGGCTACCAAAATCTTCCATAGCAAAGATAGAGGGCCATTATCAATTTATACTCAATAATAAAGTTGATGATTAGAAGAATTTCACAGGATTCTAATATGATGGATATAATTATAAAGAATTGGATAGGCATTGTGTCACCATTGCATATAAACTTTAGGTTTGTTAATAATCAGCCCATGGTATTATTATAAGGCATTTCAGAAAACTATCTCCCCTTTTCCCCAAGTAGTTAAAAATTAAAGGAATGGGGAAAATCACACCAGAGCTATGGAAAATTATCTAGTAGAGAAATAAAAACAGATCTAAAGTATTCACTATCCATCACCGTCTACCGGATTTCTAACTACTTATTTAAAAGTAAAGAGGAAGAAAATGCACGGTTGAAATTTTTACATGATTAAACTGTTTTAGGATAAAAGGATCAAACCAGCACTGGTCATCACAACAGATAAAAGTGAAGTTGAGCAGCAGAAGTAGTAAATAAATTTTCATAAAATCGATAAGAATTAATACAAAATTATTTTAACTAAATGTTAAACTGTTAAATAACTTAGCCTATAAATAGTATATAATTTATGAAAGGTATTTAATTACCTTTTTGTTCCACTTCTATTGGAGAGAGAGAAGTACAGAGAGAAAGGAGAAAAGAGAATAGATTAATGGTACGGTATTGGCCAAGCACTTTTTATTCACCTCTTCCAAACTGAAAGTTAATAATTTATTTCATTCACACTTGCTTTTTGAACATAATGTTTTTTTAAAAAAAACATTTCCCTAGTAAAATTATTTGTTAAAAAAGCAACCATATTATAAACTTAAAAAAATATAGTACAGACTTGGAAAATGTAAGGCAAAAGTTAATCAAGCTAAGATTGAAAAAAACAAAAAACAAAAAACAAAAAAACACAACATACAATTCCAAACTATAGACATAGGAAATTAAGATTCATAATAAGAACACCAATATTTCCCTTTTAAAGTTAGGAAGGTAATTATACATATAAAGCTTTCAAATAGTTTGACTTGCCTCATTTATAAAATATTATAGTTTATATCACCATTTAACATAATAGTCTTGCTTTTTACCCATCTCAAGGATTGATCTCTTCAGAAGAAACTACTCTGTAACTTGTTTCATAAGGCCTAAGATTTTCCATGTCAGTTCTATGAGAAATAAACCTCATGTGGTACACATTAACACGGAATTCCCTCACACTAAATAATGGATTCAGAATCTTTATTGAAGAAACTTCTCTCCCTCTCACTCATCAATATTTGATATTATGGAAAAATATCTTTCAGAAAAATCTGTTATCAGAGGGTTGACATAAATCATGAGCCACCTGTTCTGGCCTTTTCTGAAATTCTTAACTGAATCAACATACTCTTGTAAGAATAAATTCAGATCCTCAACCGTGTTATGGCTATGCATCTTTCAAATTAGATCCCATTATTATTTTTAAGGTACTGACCAATTCAGGTCAGGGAAAATTCTGGGAAATTGTAGCATTCATGTAACTGATCAAGCAACATCTTGTTTATCTTATGAACATTTCTCTCATTAGAGACAATTTGCCCAAATCACAAAAAGAAGAAAAAAGGACCAACAAAAAACAAGAGGAAGAGTTGGAGGGGGAATGGGCTCATAACACAAACTTAAAAATCACAGACTGCAAATGATAGAAGTCTAAAAAACTTTCAACAGAATGGATAAACCAAAATACTATTGCACAATAAATAAAACTCTAAGGAAGTTTCAAAACACAGGAGAAATACTGTTTGGGTAATTGCATTTAGGTGAGATTTTGTGCTTTGACCTAAGCTGTTGTCTTCTGTTGTCAAAATCACATTCATTTCTCCCCATTCACTTTTTTGAAAGCTCAATGTTACATGTGTTAGAACGCAAAGCTAGTATATGCCAAAAGTTATGCTTAAGAAGTTGCAAATGTAGTCTTTTAAAAAGATTCCTTATCTCATTAATATACAAATCTTATTTTAATAGTATTTCTAGGACTCTTTTAGCAATTCTATACTCTTACAATTTATCATTATGTTCAATCTTTATTGAGTGACTGCAGTGTTCATTGGACTATATGCCTCACTACATATCAGTTAAACTCTTAAGACATGCACTTCATGCTCTGACTAGAATACTAACAAATTTGGGTTCAGACTGACAACTAGAAGAAGCATAACTAAGCACCTTAAGAAATTATTCAATCAATAGTCTCAAAAGTTTGGACTCAAGGCACATTACAATGAAAATGGAGGTTGGAAGTGGGAAGTCACACTAAAGTTGACATTTTTTTCAACAACTAGGTTACAAAAGAATTTCTAGAACTAATTTTGTTCCTTGAAATACATCTAAATATATATCCTTTTGAGAACTGTATATAGAAGGTTTATATTCTGAAACATCAAATGTATACTCATACAACTTGAGTTTTATTTTACATAAAACTCTTCATATTATTCTAAAGCACAGTTACCCTAACTTCTTGGCAACTAGTATTTCTCTTTTCAACAACTACTAAATGAGGAAGGTGGGATATGTGATCAAAAGTATTGATATTTGTTATTCTCATCGCTTCTCTGCCTTTTGGTTAAGATCAAGTGATATTTGTTATCCTGTAAATACTATCTTACAATTTAATGGATATTGTTATTATTTTTAAAAATTTTAATGGTTATTTATTTCTGAGAGAGAGACAGAGTATGAGCGAGGGAGAAGGCAGAGAGAGATGGAGACACAGAATCTAAAGCAGTCTCCAGGCTCTGAGCTGTCAGCATAGAGCCTGATGCAGGGCTCGAAACCACAAGCTGTTAGATCATGACCTGAGCCAACATCAGATGCTCAGCCAACTGAGCCACCCAGGCATCCCTGGATATTGTTATTTTTAAAGAACTTTTACTTCTATCTTCTCAATTGTCATTAGGTAAAATTTTAATGCTCTGGTCTCAGTCTAAGAATTGGTATAAGCTGTAGCTTAAGTAAAGCGTGCTTCTGTTACTTGCTGGTTACTCAAAATTAAGATTTATTAGGCAGTTTCATTTTGGACAAAATTATTGTGTTCTTGCCTATGTCATGACTGGCTGTAGCTCATTTATCATTTATTTGCTATTTTCAAGACTCTAGTAAAACAATCCTATAATTTAAGTAGAAACAAGCATACACAAATCATATTCCCTTTAACAAAAATTGGCAAGGCAAACATAATTTGTCACTGAAAAGCTTAGTAAGATTAAGGATTAGCCAGTCACTGTCCATCATGTGGTTCTGACTCTAGAAGCTTCTTTCCCCTGGGGAAACAAACAAACAAACAAACAAACTGTATGGACACAAGTTAACACCCTTGACACTATATCCTTCATAATGCCTGGTGCATAAGTACTCAGTGAATAGCTGCTGAATTAATATATAATCCAAATAGAGGTGATTAATTCTGCTTCTTAATGTTTTAAGCATGTAGTAAAAAGAAAAAAATGGTGAAAAGAATCCAGATTTGCTATATATAATCATATGTGCAATGTATTATGTGTACAATGCCTTTGTATTTTAATGGATGTGGAGGAAGGTGCAATTCATGTGCAATATGTATCTCCAACTAATTAAGTGTAAAACTGGAGGGAAAAAAAGGGAAATAAGAAAAACTATACGAATAGTCTTGAGAATTATATCGGAGAGAACAAAGTGTTGCTATAAAACAGCCTGTAATGATCTAAAAACACAGACCAAAAATACTCCCTTCTCTCCTCTCTGTAATGAGATCATAAATAAATGAATCGTACGGTGAGATCTGTGTTCAGCCTTCTTCAGTACCTCCTGTCTTTTGGTCTGGTCCAATATCCTGAATTCTGGCATTATAGTGTCACTGTTCATTTCCAATCCTCTGTGGAACTAGTTACTCTCTTTTTTTCTCTCTTCACTTTTAATCCCCAAACTATTTTTATTGTCCATTCAGCCTCTGCAAATATGTTTATATATTTCCTCAAAGTGATTTCATTGTTGTCCTTTGTCAAACTTAATGTTGTAAGCTATATCCTGTGGTTAGAGTAAATGACAAATTCAAACTAAGGGTAAATTTATTCTGTATAAAAGGCAGAAACAGGAAAGAAAAAAAGACTAGTAAATTTTCTCTTTATTTCCCAACAGTTCATAAAAGAGAAATAATATATAGCCAATAGCCATGTTATTGTTTAGAAAAAATAAGATGTTATTAGTTCTATCCATATCTATACCATATGCAGTACTTTTGAATTGCATTTTTTAATTAGAAAAGGTATGGATGAGAGAGCATATGCACGCATTGCCAGTCTTTTCCAAATTGCATTGCAAATTACAGAGAAATAAAATTGTTGCGTGCTAAAAATTGTTAGAACTAAATTGTCATAACTAAGAACTATGAAATTGTATCTAATTCTAATATAGGTTAAATTTTCTTTTATTTTAAACTGTAAGTCATACTAGATATTTTCCATCCATGTTATATAATCCAATGATGCCTCTATATTTCTGTAACATACAAATAAAAATGTTTATGGGGAACAAGAGATAGTTATACAACATTAAAAATTATAAGTACCTTTTTTATCATTTAAATTTATTATTATTTTAAACAGCATTATTTTCTTGGTTACATTTGGCTTGGACTATTAAAATACCCTTATCACTGGCCAGCTGGGCAGTGAAGGAGACAGCAATAAAGGAAACTAAGTGAGTAATAAAAAATCAGTCTTGGATGAAAATTTGCTGGTGTATCATCTATAAAAAAGGCCATCTATAAGTGAATAATCAGAAGTTTACAATAATACTTTCACTTCTATATCACTCTATACTTTAACAAAATGTTTTCATACGAATCACTTGATTTAGTTCTTCAAACAACACTGTGATGTGGTATTTGTTATTCCTACATCAAAGATGATTCAACAAAAACTCAAGGGTTAAAGGAGTTGACTAAGAACAACCTTGACAGATGGAAGAGTCTGTCATTTGTGTAATAAACACTGGCTCTCACTACCTGTAAACTCAATGAAAGTGTTTGTTGAATTCTTGCTCTCCATTTCCTTTCTGTCAAGAAATTCATGTGAGAGTGCACTTTGGAGGATATATTTAACACAAATGGAATCTTCCTGAGGGTAAGCACTCTGTTACAAGAACATTCGCTAAGCATGTACCATGTGCCATATATTGCCCTGAAGTTTTTCATACAGTACTCATTCAATCATCTCTGAGAAACCTTATGAAGTAGATATTCTCTTTATCTTAACTTTTCAAATGAAGAAACAGGTCCCTTCCATCTGTCTCAAAGAGGCACTGCTCTCTGATTAGTGAGTGGTAGAGTTGAAATTCAAATACAAGTGATCTTATCCGTTGTTGCATCTCCAATATGCAGCACGTAAGAAAAGCTCAATTAGTGTTTCTTAAGCCTCCATGCAATGATGAGTTGTACTGTAGTATTTTCAGGGAATGAGACTGCATGTCATATTTTTCAGGGCTTTTAACCCTGAGACTACTGATGCAAAGCCTCTCCAAAGAAGAAAAAATAATAATAATTTTCTAAAAAAAAAAGTTTCCTCATTTCTTGCCCAAGGAAACAAGATGTTTC